CCTCCCAACTCTGTTTATTCTGTATTAAACGCCTTGAGATTTTTGTCTTGGCAGCAAAAGGGGCCGAAGTCCGGGGTCTCCATGGAAGCAGATAATTCAGAGGATTTTGTCTCTTGTCTTCTCTCTCCGCTCCATCCTGCTCCTGGCACATCTGCGCGTAGACCGGAGGGGATCGCTTGTCGCGTGTCCGTGGATGGATATAAAAGATTAATCCACTTTCCACCCGGCTGGGTTGTTTGGAAATGGGATGCCTTGACATTTTTTTCCGCTTCGTAAGGCTCCGGCTGTCTGCCCAACGCTTTGCTTTTATGGGCATGGGTTAAACTGGGGCAGGAACTGGGAACACCCTCAGCCACTTCCTCTCTCTCTCGGTGGGAAAGAAATCGTCGGGTCACCAATTCAAGCCACACGAGGCCAGGTGTGCCCTTTTCTCAGGGATTCTGCAGAGGCAAATGGGTTTTCCCCCCGTTGGGGATGCTGGACTCAAGTTGACAGGGGCTGAACGTGGCCGAAGAGCAAGAAGCAGAAGTTGGTATCTGCCCTTGAGAGGCCGCTGGGGCTCTCTGAGCTTGGTGGTTTTCTTGCAGACGTTTTGTGACCCAATCTAGGTAACATCATCAGGGCTAGCACTGATGGTGTGACTTAGTTTGGATCATGGTACGTCTGCAAGGAAACCAGCAAGCTCAGAGAACACCAAGGACTCCACAATCCTCCTCCTCCTCCTCCTCCTCTTCCTCCTCTTCCTCCTCCTCTTCTTCCTCCTCCTCCTCCTCTTCCTCCTCCTCCTCCTCCTCTTCCTCTTCCACCTCTTCCTCCTCCTCTTCCTCTTCCTCCTCTTCCTCTTAATTTGTCTTGTTTTAATTTGTCTGGGCCAAAATGATTTAATTTGATTTTAACTGGTTTTTTAAATTTTTGTATTTATGTATTTTATTGCTTGGCTGTTCACCGCCCTGAGTCCTTCGGGAGTAGGGCGGTATACAAATCAAATAAAACTAAAAACTAAAACTAAACTCTTCCTCCTCCTCTTCCTCTTCCTCTTCCTCCTCCTCCTCCTCTCCCTCCTTGTCCCTGCCAACCCCATTCCCTTCTAGCACTGATAATGTTACTTAATTTGGTCATGAAACAACCACAAGAAAACAATCAAGCTCAGAGAGCACCAAGAATCCCACTGTCCTCCTCCTCCTCCTCCTTTCCTTCCTCCTCCTCTTCCTCCTCCTCCTCTCCCTCCTCCTCCCCGCCAACTCCATTCCCTTCTAGCACTGATGATGTTACCTAGTTTTGTCATGAAACGACCGCAAGAAAACAATCAAGCTCAGAGAGCACCAAGAATCCCACTGTCCTCCTCCTCCTCCTTTCCTTCCTCCTCCTCTTCCTCCTCCTCCTCTCCCTCCTCCTCCCCGCCAACTCCATTCCCTTCTAGCACTGATGATGTTACCTAGTTTTGTCATGAAACAACCGCAAGAAAACATCCAAAAGAAAAGCACCAACCTCAGAGAGCACCAAGGACCCCCTTCATTTCAACCCTGAGCTCCAAATATTTTCCTTTACTGGTCCCCCAGAATTCCCCAGCCATCTGGGGCGGACTTCATCTCCCAGAATTCCACGCTAGGTAGGGATTTCTGGGAGTTGAAGTCCACCTGTCTTAAAGTGGGCACAGATTTAGGATAACACGCGAACTGGACTTTGCCGTCTCCCTCCCTCCGCCCTAACTCAATATTTCTTGGATCAGCCCAGACAGTTTTTTTTTTCCCCTTGTGTTGGGCATCTATGAATGCACCAAATGTGGAAAAATTAAGTTGCTTTCTTTCCTTTCCCTCTTTCAAATCAACAGGGGGGAAAAAAAACCCCCAAAAACTTTTCCTTTGTTTTCTGTTTCCTCTGCTCGTAAAAAAAAAAAAAAAACTCTCCCAAACTTGGAAAATTCCGCTGATCAATTTTGTTCCATCCAAGGGGAGGGGAAGGGAAAAAAAAAAAAAAAAAAAAGGAAAATTGTTCCTTTTCCCACCGGGAACTTGCTTTTCTCCTTTGTGCCTGCTTTCAAAAACAATGACCTCACTTTCCCCGAGTCTCCAGGTAGTAGTTTTAAGGGAGGCCGACTAATAAAACCCAATAATTGAATCCTGGAATTGGCAAAGAGGCGAGAATAATCTTACGTAAACACTGGAAGTGGCTGATAACCATAGACCCATAGCTCTGGGCCCTTTTGGAAAGAAATTTTTCAACAAGCAACGTTAATTAAGCAATAAATACTTGAGCGAGCAAATTTTTCACAAGGTGTTTTCATTCTTGCTGTTGTTATTATTATTATGGATGAATGCAGAGGCTGAAGGTGACACCCTGGAAAATAATAATAATAATAATAATAATAATAATAATAATAATAATAATAATAATAATAAGCCAATACTTGAAAAGTATTGAAGGCAAAGCTGACCAGAAACTAACTTGGAACTGGTTAAGATCAGGAGTACTGAAAAAAGAAACTGAAAGCTTTATTTTGGCAGCTCAAGAACAAGCCCTAGCCACAAACTGCATGAAGGCAAAAATTCAACATGTTACCACCAACAGCAAATGCCGCCTCTGCAATGAGAAAGATGAGACAGTCGACCACCTGATCAGTGGGTGCAGCAAAATTTCACAAACTGACTACCTACAACGCCATGACCGCGTTGCTAATATCATTCACTGGAAATTGTGCCAGAAGTTTGGATTTGAGTACAGCAAAAACCACTGGGAACATCAGGTTGAGAAAGTTTTAGAGAATGAGAAACTCAAGATCTTGTGGGACTTTAGGATTCAGACTGACAGGCACTTGGTCCACAAGACACCTGACATAACAATAGTTGAAAAGAAAAAAGTATGGTTCATTGACATTGCAATACCTGGTGATGCACGGATTGAAGATAAGCAGCAAGAAAAAATCACAAAGTACCGGGACTTGCAAATCGAAGTTGAGCGACTGTGGAAAAAGAAATCGTGTGTTGTCCCGATTGTAATTGGAGCCCTCGGAGCAATACCCAAAGGGCTACCCCGCTATTTAGAAATTCTAAATTTGCCAGACTTGAACATTTTGACTCTACAAAAAACCACCTTACTCGGAACAGCTTACATCCTCCAACGATACCTTAACAGTTCCTAGGTCCTTGGTTAGGACTCGAGCTGCTGAGCTATTAACCAGCCTCAAAGGCTGTGAATCTCACTAAAGATTAACTAATAAATAATCATAATCATAATCATAATAATAATAAAAAAGAACTTGTGATTTATGGGTTTGGAGATTAGAAGAGCTGACAATGGGAAGAAGGAAGTGATGATATCAGCTTAGAGAGAGAAGATAATATCCACATAAATGCATGTATAAGTGCTGTAAAAAAAGAAAAGGGATTAAAAGCCGTTTCAATACCACTGGGTTTTTTTCTTTCTTTCTTTCTCGTTCTTTACATCTTTTAGAATTAGAATGAATGAGCTGGAAGGGACCTTGGAGGTCATCTAATCCAGCTCCCTGCTCAAGCCAAATTTATATACATCTTTTAACTGTATTTTAATATTTGTATTTGATGTTTTTATTTGTCTGTTCACCGCCCTGAGTCCTCAGGGAGAAGGGCGGTATACAAATTCAAAATAAAATAAAATAAAAATAAAAAGCAGGAGACCTTAAACCAGGAGTCAGCAACCTGCGGCTCTGGAGCCGCTTTGTGGCTCTTTCACCTCTCTGCTGCGGCTCCCTGTCACTCAAAATATGCGTCACAACCGCCAATGTGCGACACCCGCCGGCACGCGATTTATTGAGCTTTTCGATAACCATCGATACAATCCAAGAAAAGAAAAGTTTCAGAAGAAAACAGAACGTTTAATTCGACTACGTAGGCTAGTTTTTGTGGCCGCTCAAGAAATCGTCAGGCATGGGAAGGGTTTTTGTGGCTCCCGTGTTTTCTTTTCTGTGGGAAACGGGTCCGAATGGCTCTTTGAGTGTTTAAGGTTGCAGACCCCTGCCCTAGACCATTTCAATCATGTGGCTGTCCAGTCTCTTCTTAAAAACCTTCAGTGATGCAGCATCCACAACTTCTGGTGGCCAGCTGTTCCACTGGTTGATTGTCCTCACCGTTAGGAAGTTTCTCCTTACTTACAGGTTGCGTCTCTCTTTGATTAGTTTCCATCCGTTGTTTCTTGTCTTGCCCATCTATTTTTCTCTTTATCCTTTTTTGCTTGCTTGTCATGTTCTGGACTTTTCCAAATTGGTATTGTTTTTATTCTGTTAATTTTATTTTATTTTTTTTAAAAAAGTTGACACCCGTGGAGAATTTTGTACAAACAGTCCTCGACTTACGGCCACAATTGATCCCAACGGCGAGACGTTGGTTCAGTGAGTTTCCCCCCCTCCCCGTTTTACGACCTTTCTCTCCACCGTTGTTAAGTGGAATCACAGCAGTTCCTAAGTCCCACACGGTTGTTATAAGTGAATCTGGCTTCCCACATTGATTTGGCTCGTCGGGAAAGGTCGCAAAAGGAGAACATGTGACTGGTGGTAGGTTGCTCCTGGTTCTGTCCGGTTCTATAGAACCGGTAGTAAAACCGGCAGGAGGCTCCGCCCACCTATTGGAACACGTGACCGTGGGGGGAATCCTGCAACGGTCGTAAGTGTGAAAAACAGTCATAAGTCGCTTTTTCCCAGCGCCAATGAAACCAGCGGTGGGTTTCAGAAATGCTTACCACCGGTTCGCCCCCTTGCTCAGGCGCCTTCCGTCCATGCGCTCAGCCTTCTGCGCGTGTCCCCGGCCTCAAAAATGTAGCTAAATAGAATGTCTTCCCGCCGGGGTGAGTGGGCGGCCCCACCCGCAGTCGCCGCTACCGGTTTGCCCGAACCGGGTGAATACCACCTCTGCTTTGAACGGCCTGCTAAACGAACTGTTGTTAAGTCGAGTACTACCTATTTGCAGCCCAATTTAACCGGTTTGTTTTGCCTCTGTTTCTCCAACCATGTTTGTTTTCTTCCTTTCCAGGTAAGAGAAATCCTGGGCCATTGTACCTGCCCGTCCCAGTTCCCCATGGTCAAAGTCTCGGAGGGCAAATACCAAGTCGGAGACTCCAACGCGCTCATCTTCGTCCGAGTAAGATCGCCTGCGACTACTCTCTCTCTCTCTCTTTCTGCCCCTTTCCCCATCGTTCTGACCCTCATTTTTCTTAATTCTGTCTCCTCGGATTCAGAGGTGGGGCGAAACTCCGCGTGCCTCTCACGGCCTGGTCGCTCGCTCTTGCTGCCATCCTGCAACTACAACGCCCATCCTCCTCAGCTAGCCAGGCTGGCTTCTCCAAAGCAAAGCCAGCCCCCTTTTACCTAGGAGATGGAATCAGAAAAGTGCTTTTTTTTTTTCCCCAAGAGGCAACTGGAGTTTTTTCTTTGAAGACGTTTCACTTCTCATCCAAGAAGCTTCTTCAGCTCTGACTGGATGGTGAGGAATGGAAGGATTGATACTTCTTGCAGACAGTTGGTCATTTGCATCCTGTTGAGGCCACTTGGAGGTTTCTCTGTGTCCTCAGGATCACCTGAGTGGTGCAAATGGGTGGGGAGCCTTGGAATTGCTGAAAGGACGATGTTGATGATGTCATATCCCTCCCCCTCTCTTGAGGGAGGGCATAGATGGCCTCTTTGAGCCCTCTTTCAAACCAGCAGTCCACTGGTGGCCTCAACGACTCTCTAAAAGGATGCAAATGACCAGCTGTCTGCAAGGAGTATAAATCCTTCCGTTACCACCCCTTCAAACTTCTAATTTCTGTTTAGAAATTATCCTAGTCCAATGATTCTCGACTTTAGCAACTTTAAGACGGGTGGACTTCAATTCCCAGAATTCCCCAGCCAGAAAAAAACTTGTTTAGGCAGCCTGGAAAATCACAAGAGATGGTCAGTTCCAGATCAATAAATCTTCCATTTTCTGCCTATTCCTCTCCTTGGTAGTGCATTGAAAAAAAACAAAAAACCATATTATAATTTGACCGAAGTCCAAACTGTCCTTGAAATGCTTCCGGATCTGTTCTGAGATGAATCTTTTGCAATTGAAAATGACAACAACAAACTATCATTGTTCGGTTTATTTGTTTCGGGTTTTTTCAGCGCCCGAGGCTGTTCTTTCCTTGTCTCTTTTCGTTCTGCCTCGCCCTGAAATCTCCTTCCGCAAAATCTCCAAATATTTTTTTCTCCCAGCCGTCAGACATAATTGACATAAATATTTCATTACAGAAATAATAATAAAGAATGGGAAGCACGAATCCATAAACTGAGGCAGATTGTAGTTAATTCAATGCCGGGAATTGGAAGTCAACATTAAGACGGTCTTGTTTTTTTTAATACGCGTGGACGCTTCTTAAAATACAGATAGTCCTCGACGTACAACAATCCATTTAGTGTCCGTTTGACGTTACAACGGCACTGGAAAAAGTGACTTATGGCCATTTTCACATCGATGACTGCGATCAACCTCCAAGCGGCCTCAACGCCTCCCGAAAAAGAAATGCAGATGACCAGCTGTCTGCAAGGAATATAAATCCTTCCCTTTTACCCACCATCCAGTCAGAACTGATGAAGCTTCCCAGGAGAAGCGAAACGTCTTCAAAGAAAAAAGCAGGAAAGTTTCAAGTGCCTCTTGAAAAGAAAAAAAAAAAAGCACCTAGATAGAGGAAGACAGGATAACCTGAGATTTTCTTCCATGCTTCCTCCTATATTTTTTTTATAAATATAGGATTTTTTAAAAATAAAATCCTATATTTTTATAGGAAAAACAATATATTATTTTTATAAATATAAGCTTTTTTAAATAAAATGCTATATTTTTATAGGAAAAAAAAATATATAAATATTTTTATAAATATAGGCTTTTTAAAATAAAATGCTATATTTTTATAGGAAAATATATATAAATATTTTTATAAATATAGGCTTTTTAAAATAAAATGTTATATTTTTATAGGAAAATATATATAAAAATATTTTTTATAAATATAGGCTTTTTTAAATAAAATGCTATATTTTTATAGGAAAAAAAATATATAAATCTTTTTATAAATATAGGATTTTTTAAATAAAATGCTATATTTTTATAGGAAAAAATATATATAAATATTATTATAAATATAGGATTTTTAAATAAAATGCTATATTTTTATAGGAAAATATATATATTTTATAGGAATATATATATATATTATAGGAATATATATATATATTATAGGAATATATATATATATATTTATAAATATAGGCTTTTTTAAATAAAATGCTCTATTTTTATAGGAAAAAATATATAAAAATATTTTTATAAATATAGGCTTTTTTAAATAAAATGCTATATTTTATAAAATGCTATATTTTTATAGGAAAAAATATATATAAATCTTTTTATAAATATAGGATTTTTTAAAATAAAATGCTATATTTTATAGAAAAAAATATATAAATATGTATATAAATATAGGCTTTTTTTTTAAATAAAAAAAATCACGGTATACGGGGAAAAAAAGGAGGCAGCTGTGCTCATTTTCACATGGCCGACAAACAGCAGGAAACAGATGTTTCTAGCAAAGCATCTGCAGAAGGTTAATGAACCCTTTTTGCAAAAGCCGTCCTTCATTATGTGGCTGTTTGAGCCACCCAGCAATTCAGGCAAATACTCTTTCCAGCTGTCTTAGGAAGGGGAGGGGGTTGCATTCTGCATTTATGCCACGCTGCCTACCCCTTCCCCCCCCCAAAATCCCCCACCCCTTCGGAATTAGAAGAGTTTTCTTCCAGAAATATACAGCATGGGCAAAGGCAGCCAGGGCCACGTAATCAAAACTTGTTGTTCCACCACCAATGTAAAGATTTTAATTGGCTTTAAATATGGGATTTTAAATTTGCGGGTTTTTTTTATAATTGAGCCAATTATTTAATAATTTTAATTACTTTTAAATTTCCGCCGTGCTCTTAAGACTCTCCTATTCCAGCAAACCGGCCTGGCCTAATTTTCTCCCCTGTTTTAAAATTCTTTTAAATCGAAATTTTAATCTGTTTTAAATTATTGGGATTTTTTTTAATTGTCTCAGGCTAAATTATTTAATCTGGTTTTCATTATGTTTTTTAACTTTTGTATCTATGTATCTGTGCCTGTTCACTGCCCTGAGTCCTTCGGGAGTAGGGCGGTATATAAATCTAATAAAACAAACAAACAAATAAATAAATAAATAAATAAATAAATAAATAAATAAATAAATAAATAAATAAATAAAATTGGCAAAACCGGAGAAGGCGAAGGAGCTGAGCAGCACCGGAGAGTCTGGGCAAGCATTACCAGCCACGTCAGAGCCACGGATCATCTGACACAGATTTATTTAAGCCGGGGAGTTGAAGGGAGGGAGTGGGGAACTACTAGGGAAGGGAACCGGGGTTGACCCAGAGCAACGGGGGGAGAAATCAGGCCAGGGCTGATCCTTGGATGGGTTTTAAAAGCTCTCTGCCTTATTCGTGGCCTGATTCTCAGGCCAGCCATGGCAATCCCTCTCCTTTTTTTCGTTGCAAAAATCCATTGCTTTCTTCGGTCTTTGCAGCCCGGCGGAGTCCCCTTGCCCCCCCCAAAAAGGGGGGGTTCCTTCATCCCCACCCCCTCCCCCATGTCTATTGCACAATTCCAGCCACAGTTTTGATTTTACACACACACACACACACAGAGACACACCCTGGACCTTCCTACAGCTCTATTTTTGCACTACCTAAGCCTGTGCGTTTGCAGAGAGATTTGTTTTATTTTTTTTAGCCCCTGCAAAGATCTCGAACTGAGATTCATTGAGACGCAGGTGGGCCCTGGGGAAGGCCGGCTTGGAAAGATTAAGCCGTGCAGGCTGTGGACGAGAGGAGTTGTAGTCCAGCCCATCTGGCTGGGGCCAGGTGGAGGAAAGTTGGATGATGGGGTGGGGAGGGGTGTGTTCCTTGGTGTTTTTCTGAGCTTGGTGGTTTTCTTGCAGGTATTTCCTTAGCATTGATGATGTTACTTAGGAGGGTGAGGAGACGTCTGCAAGAAAAGCAGCAGACTCAGAGAACACCAAGGACCTCGCAGTTGTCCTCCTCCCTACCTCCTTCTCTTAAAGCCCGCTCCTTTCTATTACTGATGATGTTATCTAGTAGGGTAATGAAATGTCTGCAAGAAAAACACCAAGCTCAGAGACCGCCAATTACCCCGCAATTCAACCCTGAGCTACAAATGTTCTCTTCTAAAGTTGGTTTACCCCAGTGGTGGGATTCATCCGGTTCGCACCGATTCTGGAGAACCGGTTGTTAACTTTCTAAGCAGTTCGGAGAACCGGTTTTTGGAAAAAAATCTTTTGTTTTTTTTTTCCCACTTTACAGGGCTAATCCTGTAAGGAAGGCAGGGAGGAAACATTCTGGTGGTGTTTCTAGCCTAATCTTTATCGCCCTGCTTACAAGAAACTGCCTCTAGGGTTAACCCTTATTACATTGTAACAGCTAAGGCGAAGCGCCCGTCGACGTGAGTGACGTTGAGTTGGCCACGCCCACTCAGTCACATGACCACCGAGCCACGCCTACCCAGCTGGTTCATTAGGGCAGAGAACCGGTTGTTAAATTATTTGAATCCCACCACTGGTTTACCCCCATTCAGATGCTCAACAAGCCCCATTGCTAGCGTTTTCTGGCTTTACCTAGGGAGATCGGGCGCCCAACGGAGCACAGGTCGAACACAGGACCCATAAGCATCCCGCCTGATGGAGCCATTATGGAATTTTGGAAGGAATGGAAGGACGTGTGCTCAGCTCATGTTTCCAGGAAACATGCGCGGGAAACACAGCGAGAGATGCCCTGTTTCGACCGACCCCAACTCCATTTTGAAACGAAGCGCCTGGCATGCACATTTCCCATCGAAAAGCGCCTGTTTCTGCAGGGCTGCTAAACTGCCGCCAGGATTTCTAGATTTGATAAAAAGCCTCACAACCTCTCCATGTTAATAATAATAATAATAATAATAATAATAAGAATTTTATTTCTATACCGCCCTTCTCCCGAAGGACTCAGGGCGGTGTACAGCCTATTAAAAGCACAAGACAAACATCAATTAAAATAATTTAAAATTATTAAATAATTCGGCTCAGTTTAAAACCCCAGAAATTTAAAACACCCAATTTAAAATTATTATGTTGATAGCCCGGCCTGGCGGAACAACAGGGTCTTGAGTGCACAGCGAAATACCCGGAGGTTGGAGATCTTACGCACTTCCGGGGGCAATTCATTCCACAGGGCTGGGGCTCCCACAGAGAAGGCCCTCCCCCTGGGTGTCGCCAGCCGACATAACTTGGCCGATGGCACCCTGAGGAGACCCTCTCTGTGGGAGCGAACTGGCCGATGGGAGGCTATTGGTGGCAGAAGTCGGTCTCGAAGGTACCCGGGTCCTATGCCATGGAGCGCTTTAAAGGTGGTGACCAACACCTTGAATCGCACCCGGAAGACCACTGGGAGCCAGTGCAGCTCGCGCAGGAGGGTGTTGTGCATGCCTTAAATCTTGGCGTTCAGGATGTTGCTGGGACATCGTTTTTTTAATCGCCACTCGGAAAGCAAGGGCGTGTGAGATCCAGAAGGCTTGGCAATCGCTTCAATGGCCAGTTTTATCCTCTCTCTCCGCTTCCCCGGGCTTTCAGATTAAATTTCCTAAGCCCTTAAGATCAAAGTGAAATTTGCATGGCGGATGGAAGAGGTTTTGAACGACAAATTCTCATTCATTACGATGGCGGAGGATGTTTGGGTTTGTTTGATTTTTTGCAGTTTTAAGGAGGGCTGAAGTCCGAGCGCGAAAAGAGCTAGGATAAAAAAAATAAATAAAAGTCATCACGTAAAATAATCTCCTGTCCTTTCATGTTATCCCAAGGGGGATTGTTGTCCTGTTGTACGTTGCTTAATGATAGAGCTGGCTTTTTTTAAGATAGGTTTACACCACCAGCTGCTGCTGTTTGATAGCGTGTGCCAGGCGAGCGATGACAAAGCTCTAAAATGGAGAGATTTGGGACGGTGATTATCTATTTTTTTTTTAATTTGATTTATATGCCGCCCTTCTCCGGAGACTCAGGGCGGCTTACAATGCGTTAAGCAATGGCCTTCATACTTTTGTATATTTTATACAAAGTCAGCTTATTGCCCCCACAATCTGGGTCCTCATTTTACCTACCTTAGAAAGGATGGAAGGCTGAATCAACCTTGAGCCTTGGCAAGATTCGAACCTGCAGTAATTGCAGGCAGCTGGTCTTAATAACCAGCTTAATAACAGGGTGCCTTAGATCACTGTACTACCAAGGCTATTTAAAGAAAAGCACCAAAATTGCAATCTTTATCCTTTAGGTTTTGCAACCAAACCTTATTATTTCCCTTGGCAAGGAGTTCCAAAGTCGACAAGCAGCCATTGGGGGTGGGGGGGGGCAAATGTTCCACGAATAGTCCTCAGAATATACAGGTAGTCCTCAATTTACGGCCAATGATTGATCCGAACGTTTCTATCGTTAAAGCCAGGCAGTTGAATCAGTGAGCTTTGCCCCGTTTTACGACTTTCCTTGCCGCGGTCGTTAAGTGATAAGGTTGTTAAGTGAATCCGGCTTCCCCGTCATCTTTGTCACAAAAGGGGATCACGTGACCCCGGCCGGGACACTGCAACTGTCATAAATGTGAGTCGGTTGGATCACGTGATTGTGGGGATGCTGAAACATTCGTACATGTGGAAAAAAAGATAGTAAGTCGTAGTTTTCAGGAAGTCTATCAGCGAAAACGCTTCGTTTTCGGCTGTGACGTCCTCCTGCAACCCTCTGCCAGAGGAAACGGAGCTCGGGAGGGCTGTCCCGACCGGACCTTCGCTGTTTCCAGGTCGGCCCTGGAAAAGTACCGTCACCTTGACTAAGGACAGGACCAGTGCTGGTATTCAGCCAGTTCTATCCAGTTCGGGCGAATTGTAGCGGCGGCTGTGGGAGGCTCCGCCCACCTGCCCGGACGTCATCACGTCCCGTTTTTGACGCTCTGTGCATGCGTGGAAGGCAGACTCGCATTTGCGAACCGGTAGCAAAGGTAAGTGAATACTACCCCTAGGCAGGACCCAACAAAATTCAACTCAAGTTTTATGATATCAGCGGAAATGAGAATACACAACTCCTTGTTATAAACCTGGGTTTTTTTTTCTGCTCCGGTACATTTATTTATTATTATTGATTTATCATATTTGTATACCGCCCTACTCCCGGAGGACTCAGGGCGGTGAACAGCCAAGATAAAAATACAAATAACATACAAAAGTTAAAAATAAAAAATAGATTAAATAATTTGGGCTCAAAAAACAATTTCAGACATCCAATTTATGTAAAACATTTAAAACCCAATTTAAAAGGGAGAGTTAGGCCAGACCAGCTTGTTGGAATAAAAACGTTTTCAGGGCGCGGCGGAAGATGCGTAAGTCTTGGATCCTCCGTATCTCCGGGGGGAGCTGGACACAAGATTGGGTAAAACCGGACTGTCATTTGGTCCTGTGCTGGTCCTCAAAGCAACGTCCAAAATGGCGTCATTGGAAGATGTTATTTTCATTTGATTTCTTCCTAGGTTCTCCGCAGTCACGTGATGGTGCGAGTAGGAGGCGGCTGGGACACGTTGGAGCACTACCTGGATAAGCACGATCCGTGCCGGTGTACCTCCATCTGTAAGTACCGGGGAGGGGGGGGAGAGAAAGGGCGGGGGGGGGGCTTGGCACCAGGAAAGGAATGCAAGTGTCATGCATGGAGAATCAGGGTCCATACTGTTGTTATGAAAAACTTTCCTTCCAGGTGTAAAGCACGTGTAAAAATTCCGTGCTGCGATTTTAGTTTACAGTGTTATAAAAGAGCCCTCGTCTCGTGTATCCCCAAGGAGTTAACTTGGAAGCTTTCTGTGAGAAGAAGGCAACAGGAAACAATATTCATCCAAAAAAAATGACATAATTAAAAGGTGGCTTCCAACTTGGAGACTCAAGCAGGATGCTGGTTGAGTTGCAGCATTGCAATGGCACCCCCTGGTGGTTTGTAGCCATCAGCCATTTGTTTATATATTATTATTATTATTATTATTATTATTATTATTATTATTATTATTATTATTATTATTATGCCATATCCATCATCGGACAAGATAGATAGATAGATAGATAGATAGATAGATAGATAGATAGATATAGAGGATAGATAGATAGATAGATATAGAGGATAGATAGATAGATAGATAGATAGATAGATAGATAGATAGATAGATAGATAGATAGATAGATAGATAGATATAGAGGATAGATAGATAGATAGATAAATAGATAGATGATAGATATAGATATAGAGGATAGATAGATAGATATAGAGGATAGATAGATAGATGATAGATAGATAGATATAGAGATAGATAGATAGATGATAGATGATAGATAGATAGATAGATAGATAGATAGATAGAGGATAGATAGATAGATAGATGATAGATAGATATAGAGGATAGATAGATAGATAGATGATAGATAGATGATAGATAGATAGATAGATATAGAGATAGATAGATTAGATAGATAGATAGATAGATAGATAGATAGATAGATATGAGCACATCTATTCCCACCTGTTGATTTTATACATCCAATGTTCTTCTGTTATTTTTCAAGCCACCTGCCATCTCTCGAACCCGTGCCGGATGATTTATTTGGATATTCTTTCTCGGGTTTTTTTTGCAGCTCACCGTCTGACCCAGAGTCGCGGGCTCGGCTTCTCTCCTCAGAAGACGAGCGGTCTGGCCAGTCCCCAGGCAAACAGCCCCACCGCTCAGCGTCGGGCTGAAACTACGGGTCTACATCATAAAGTCTCCGAGACCCACCACTTGGGGGAGAAACGGCTCTTGGCTGGAGCAGGGGAACCGACTCACCCCAAAGGAAACCGTCCCGGTCCTCCCACCAAGAGGTCTGGGACGGCTACCCCACCGAGGCAGGGATCGCTGGCTCCACCAAGTGGAAAATGTAGCGGGTCAGGACAGAGGGGTGCCAGCCCTCTGAGGGGGTGCCCATCCCAAAGCCACCAGGAGACGGGAGATTCCCATCTTTCAGTCAGGTAAGAAGTGACGAAAGGGGTTGTTGCATCTTGAAGGCCAGGATAAAGTTCTCGTCATAAGTTTGTTGGGAGAAATGTCCTTCTGGGTTCAGAAAGACGCTGTAGAAACATGGTGGTTGATTGGAAAGATGGTTTTTAATGGTGGAAAAACAGTCCAGCTGGCTTTTGAAAAAACACTTTTGAGACAACTATGACCTGGATGACTGTTAGAAATTCTGTTTATATGTAGCACTACAGATCAAACAGTGTACAGTCACCATGTGCTTTACTGCTTAACTGTTTTAACTGTAACAGGAAACAGGAAACTTTTCTTTCAACAAAAGGACATTAAATATATACCCGTGATGGCGAACCTATGGCACGTGTGTCACAGGTGGCATGCCGAGCCATATCTGTGGGCACGCGAGCGTTGCCCTAGCTCAGCTCCAGTACGTATGCACGCGCTGGCCAGCTGATTTTCAGGCCTTCCGGAAGTCGGGAAATGGGCCATTTCCAGCCTCTGGAGGGCCTGGGGGGGGATGGGGAAGGCTGTTTTCACCCTACCGAGGCTCCTAGAAAGCATATGGAGCCTGGGAAGAGCAAAAAACGGGCCTATCGGGCCCACCATGCCATTGCGTGCCAAAAGCAGGGGAGCATGGGGGGGTTTGTGTGTGCATGCACGGGGCACATTGAATTATGGGTGTGGGCAAGTGCGGACGCACCCCCCGCGCTCTCCCGCTTTTGGCACGCGACAGCAAAAAGGTTAGCCATCTCTGATATATACCATGGATCCCAACTGCCATCTACTGGCTGAATGTTACTGTAGTTGTTGCATAAAAATACAAGGAAACTGTACGCCAAGACCGAGAATCTCCATAGACACACAAGTCTTAAAAGTTTCCAAGTTTGGAGACCCCTGGCCTAGACAGAGAGCAGAAGAGAAGTTGAAGCCACCCCAGAGCCAGGTGTTGGGAAAACAGAAGAGCAGCCAAGGATGACTCACTCGAAGCACAGAAGCAGGATAAGGCAGGGAGGCCGCCTGACGTGATGACAGGTTTTTTTCCAGACTGCTTTCTGAGCCAGAGCTATGAGTAAGGAAAGCTGAGAAGGGTCTCCTGGTTATCTATTCCACTAATTGCTCCGTAATGGACTTTAAGTGGAAAGGGCGGAGTAGACAGAAAAACATAACAGGAGGTTGAAAGAGACTAGGAGCCCAATGTTATGAAAAAATCAGAAAGTTCTCCCTGGTTTGTCTGGAAAGGAGCTTCCAGATTCCTCCTGATTTTTTTATTTTTTGTTTGCTGCTGTAAAATAGAAATAAATGTAGGAATCAGAAAAAAAGAAACTTAAATCCAGAGAGCAAAAGGGTAAAGTGTTTGAAAGGCTGCCGTTTCTTTCTTGCAGGAACCCCAGAGCTCGGCGTCTTTCCGGAGACAGCGATTCCTCCTCCTCCTCCTCTAGGCACAGTGCCAGCTTGGGAAGGAAGCGGAACGAAGATGCCAGCCTGGCACTCAGGAAGGAGGCTGGGAGGCGCATCTCCGAGGGCCCAGCCTCCCAGCTCCACGCCAGTCCCAAACGGCCGCCAACCAGCCGGAGTCAGTCGCGAGACCGTCTCAGCTTGCCGAAAACCGTGGCGGTGCCTAGGAAGGTTGAGCCAGAAGAGCGGGGCCGCCCTCGCGTGACAAGTCGGCCCACCAAGCCTGGACCGCAGAGCCCTCGTCCCCGGGCCCGCAGCCAGGGAAGGCCTGGAGGAGAGCCTGTGCTGCTTATCAGCCGAGCAAAGGATGGACAGCATTCCTGGACACGAACTGACGAGCCCAAGGAGAACGCCGGGGGCTCTGGAAGAAGCACCCCCAGGACCAAGAGCCCGGCAAGGGGTCACCTGACCCCGGTGGGTTCCCGAAGCCCTGCCCCCACCAAGCGCAGGGGTTCCCTGCCCGCCACAAAAATGGCCAATCCTGCCATCCGAATGCCTCCGCCGGGCCCAGGACGTCAGCGCCAGCCCTGCTTGTCCGGACAACGTGGGACCGTGAGGCAGCCCCATTTGGGGGAGAGCGGGCCTTCCAGGCAGTCCGATGATACTTTAGGAGAAGAGTTGGAGGTGACGGCACAGGTTTTCCGCACCCCGCTACGCCTCGATCCGAGCCAGGAGCAGCAGCTCTACCGGCGTCTGGAGGAAGAATTCCTGGCCAACTCTCAAATGATGGGTTTGGAAATGGACGAAGAGCTGGATCCGGGCAGCCAGGCATGCAATGGCGCCCGGCTCTTGCCCATGAATCCAGACCAAGGGACTGCTGACTCCGCCTACTGCTCCTCCAGCTCATCCTCTTCCTCCCTCAACGTCTTCAGCAAATATGGTCTCCAACCCGAGGAGTCCAAGCGGAAGGCAGCCCACCAGATGACTGGAGGTTCCGAGCTGGTGGATTTTCACAATGGCTCGACGGAGGCTTCCGAGCTCTGGGACTCAACCGGTTCCCGTGAGCGAAGGAGCCGCTGGAGGAAACCCATGCTTTCGAGCTCGTCGGATGAAAGCAACTGCTACCTGGGCCTCAACGATGTCCAGGAAGTCCAGGAAGGTCTAGAGCTAGCCGAGACTCTGGTGGATAGCCCCTGGGCCACTGGGGAGCCGGTCCCTTCCCACACAGAGCAGGAATCCTCCCTCCAGGATGGCCTGGAGACCCTCGGCACATCCCCCTCGGCTCCTGTCCTGGAAGAAGTCGTGCTCCGTCCCCAGTCGTCCTTGAGGAAGCCCGACCGCGTGCCTTCCATCTACAAACTGAAGCTGCGTCCGCAAATTAAACCTCGCGCCGACTCCCAACCGGACAAGACTCCGTCAAAAATCCCCACTCCCTTCAACTACAAGGCTTCTGGAACCCAGAAGGCTCCGACAGGAAGCGCCTCTTCCAAGGACAGCCCAACCAGAGGTCTATCCGAGCGCCGGGGCTGGGCGGCCTTCCACAACATCTTCTCCTCCTCCTTCGGGGATTGTCCTGGGGGTTCGGTGGAATCTGGTGTGGCTGATGAAGGAGCTTGGGCCTAGGCACCGGTGGATAGCACCCACCCACATCTCCTCCCCCCTGTATCCGCTTCTGTGGTCCGGCCCTGTCTTTCCAGCTGCTTCTTTGGACCTCTTCCCAATGTGACTTTGTCATACGCTGCTGTGCAGAAGAGAGTTTTATTTTTGGGTGGTGGGAGGAGATGGGAACGGGGAGACGGGACATAGGAGAAAGCCTTGGATTGCAAAAGGGGATCCGTCCTTCTGTATTTTATTTTTGGAGCGTGAGGCTGGAAGACGGCAGAGCTTAAATTGCAGTATCAGGAGGTTGGAGCTCAGGGTGTGTGCGTGTGTGCGTTGTTGGGGCTGCGTATGTGTGAAAGGCTTGTATGGGGACGTCCTTTAACACTGGATACTAAAGGGAGCATCAGGGTTAATATTCACTCCCTTGGTCAATCACTGTCCAGCTTCTGCCATCTTGATATTTCCGTAGCCATCTGAGTTCAGCACAAGCAGTCCTTGATTTACGACTATAGAAACCACAACCTCTGTCACTAAGTGATATGGTTGGTAAGTGAGTCATATCCAATTTTATTACCTGTTTCCCCGCGGTCGTTAAACAAATCCACTTGTCCCTATTAACTTCCTCAGAATCTCCCCGACAGTCTCAAACAATCACATGACATCACCTCCCCCGGATGCTGCAACCACCATAAACATACTTCAGGTGCCAAGCACCTGAAGTTTGATCACGGGCAGTGGTGAAATCCTACCAGTTTATACCGGTTCGGGCAAACCGGTAGTAATAAAAGCTACCGGTTCGGGCAAACCATTAGTAAAAAAATGCAACCAATTCGTCCGACTTCGGTATTTCCGACGATCAGCTGTGTCGCACGATTTATATTCGCTAGTCAGCAGGAAATCCTGCTGTCTAGCGAATATAAATCACGCGGCACAGCTGTTCCCCCCCCTCACTGTTTTACTTACCTTCAAACAGCTCCTTTTTCTATGCAAAGTGCACATTTGGTGCACTCTGCGCATGCGCGCAGGGTGCATCTGGCACGCACTGCACATGTGTGGGCAGAAAATCGGTAGCAATCCGCGGAGGATTTCACCACTGATCATGGGGCAGTCGTAAGTGCAAGATTCCGTTGTAGGTCACGTTTTCAGTGCCATACTATGCTAGCAGGGTGACAGGCCACTGTTTTCAGGAACAGGGTTTTCAAAAGCAAAAAGGACGGCGACTTTGATTGCAGTTGCCATCTTGATTTTTTTATTTTTTTACTTCTTCCCTCCCCACCCCCCAGTATTGGCCCAGTCCTTCAGCCAGAGACGTGGCATGGAAGGAGCATTCAACTACGTCAGGATTTGAGAAAGGAAATGTTGCGTCAGGGCGTCGTGTAACGGGTACAGTCGCGCCTCTCGTCTTCTACACACACCCCTTGTTTGCGCGCGAGGCTGCACAGAATTGGAAGAGTGCCTTATGGGGTGGGCTTGGTTGTGGGGGTGGGGGTGGGGGCGGGAGAGGGGAATGCCGAAGGAGTGGCTGGAGAGAGTGATTGGACTCCAGTTTTGTGGGTCCGAATTGGAGTCGCGGATTCACACACAACAGACACTGAGTGGCCCACGGTGAAGCGTCTCTTAAAAGGGAGAAGTTGCGTAGACGTTTGTGGGAACTGGACCGAAAGGGGGAACCCCCCAATTCTTCAAGGCACAATCGTTGCATGTGGCAAAACGTCAGTCGTGCGAGCGGGAAAGTGTGGACGAGGGAGGGAGGGAAGAATGCTGAAGTCTTTGCACGTGAATTTCTCTTCGGCAGGGGCCCTCTCGGCCTTCGTGACAACCCCACCCCCACCCCCGGATCAGTGGATGGAGGTCTGTTGAATAAATCTATGCATATTTATATAAAGTAATAGGGAGCCTTGCCTCGCTCTCCCCCCGTAGAGTGCCTGCTATCCAACCCCATGAATGTAGCTGATTAAACCGACCTGCAAGTCCCTGAATCCAGACAGTAAAGACTGACACATCCTCTGCTTTTGGCGCTGGCCCCTTTTTTTGTGTGTCTGTATGTGTGTGTAAATGGGTGTGTTAGTACGGAGGTACGCGGTGCTGCGGATCAGAAAAGTGCACAGATTTTGGTGGGGTGGAGTGGTGGCCATCTTTTCTTTGGTCTCCCTCTCCTTTCCTTCCTCCCTCCCTTCCTTGTGGTTAGAATGCAGTACTGCAGGCTAGCTCACTGCCAGCAGTTTGATCCTGACTGGCTCAAGGTTAACTCAGCCTTCCTTCCTTCCTTTTCTTCCTTCCTTCCTCCCTCCCTCCCTCCCTCCCTTCCTTGTGGTTAGAGTGCAGTACTGCAGGCTAGCTCACTGCCAGCAGTTTGATCCTGACTGGCTCAAGGTTAACTCAGCCTTCCTTCCTTCCTTTTCTTCCTTCCTTCCTCCCTCCCTCCCTCCCTCCCTTCCTTGTGGTTAGAGTGCAGTACTGCAGGCTAGCTCACTGCCAGCAGTTTGATCCTGACTGGCTCAAGGTTAACTCAGCCTTCCTTCCTTCCTTTTCTTCCTTCCTTCCTTCCTTCCTTCCTTCCTTCCTTCTTCCTTCCTCTCTCCCTCCTTCCTTGTGGTTAGAATGCAGTACTGCAGGCTAGCTCACTGCCAGCAGTTTGATCCTGACCGCTCAAGGTTAACTCGACCTTCCTTCCTTCCTTCCTTCCTTCCTTCCTTCCTTCCTTCCTTCCTTCCTTTCTCCCTTTCTCCCTCCCTCCCTCCTGCGAATTTCAGAAACAGAAAAGCTTTTGTTGAGCGAAGAGCGAATTCTACCCACTTTAAAAATAACCCCAGTCAAGAAGCTAGGATGAATGTTAGTTTAGTTATCCTTTTAGTCAATACTCTCTTTATTACTCACCCAACCCAACGAGGGTGTGAATTCTTGGGGGGGGGTGAGAGAGTTGTGCAAAATTTAATTCATTGCTTCAAGGTGTCCTGGTATTGCAAAATTTGAATATTGTCATCGTTTTGGAATGGAAAACAGTTTTTCTGGGTAATCCTAACCAGACAGTGGCAGGATACCGAATCCTCGTTCTGATTCTCGAACCCCAGACGTGTGCCAGAGTCCAAGATGGCTTAAAAGGCTTTGAGTTCTGATCCTATCCATTGCATGCTTTATTCCTTGAACCCCAAAAGGGGGGGGGGTTTCTTTCCACATGTGTCATTATAAAAGCCATCCCTGTCAACAGGGAAAGCTGAGAACTATCATAGTTCATAGAATTTGCACGACCATCGTAATGTCTACGATTCTCTTCCAATGTTTGACTTTGCAAGGTCAGAGGGTCTCCAATTTTGGCCGCTTTAAGAACGGTGGACTTCAACTCCCAGCATGCTGGCTGGGGAATTCTGGGAGTTGAAGTCCACCAGTCTTCAAAGCGGCCAAATTTGGACACCTCTTGTTTTAGACCAGGGGTGTCAAATACAAGGAGCGCGAGTTGAATGCGGCCCACGAGCCATCCTGGAAAATGTAAGGGGCCAGCCCGCATTGCTTTGGCCAGGTCTACCCAATGTGAAGAGGAAAAATGCCAGCAGTTTGGGGAGTGGCCTGAAGCTGGCCACGCCCACCCTGTTGGCAACACCCACCCCATTGGTCACGCCCCCCCCCCGAAAGTCAACCACAGCAGTAGTGGGTTTCAATTTAGTTTGCTACTGGTTCGCTCATGCGTGACACTTTTGCGCATGCACACAAGCATCCGGGCGGGTGGACGGAGCCTCCCGCCGCTACCAGTTTGCCAGATCCAGGGCGAACTGGTAGCAACCACCACTGAACCACAGCCCTGATGCGGCCCTCAATGAAATTGAGTTTGACACCCCTGTTTTCGATGAACATTCAGGACCTCACCTGCCCTCCTCCAACCCATTCCATCCTCCACTCCCAGCTCACATGAGGCTGCACCTGTTTGTGTTCAGCGCCCCCTGGAGGCGCACAGCGGAGTGATTGCTCCTACAACCATGGGCCACGGCGCTGCACAGCAGCTCTTTGAAAAGGAGGAAAATGTGCCAGTTGTATTTAGCCGAGCACTCCATGTAGCCGCACTTCCAGGTCTTCTTCACGAGGAGGGAGAGCGTCCGACGGGGCGTGAAACGCTGCCGTTGCAGGTCCCGCTTGTTCCCCACGACAATGACGGGGGCTTCGCTGATGTTGCTTGTCCTGGAAGAGAAGATACGCAAAGGAGGTTCAGGTTTGGGAGGGGGCCCAACAGTCCGGCAATGCTTCGGTGTGCGAAAGTAGCCTCTTCTTCGCAAGTCCATTTTTGCAGCCACAACCTCATTGGATCGAGGGAAACCGCAAACATTGTGGGTCAGTCTTTCCTGCCCAAGAGCCAGCGGTAGGCTGCTGTGGGTTCGTAGGGGTTTGGGAGAACCTCTAGCTAAGATTCGGTGCAGTTCAAAGAACCCCCAAATCCCACTTCCGGCTGGCCCCGCCCTGCCCCGCTGTGAACCGGTAGCAAAGGTAAGTAGAACCCACTCCTGGTGGGAATGGAGATTTTGCAGTATCCTTCCCCTGCCACGCCCACCAAGCCACGCCCACAGTAAAAAAAAATTGAATTTCACGACTGCACTTATGTCTTATTACATAATTTAGGCTAGGAAAGAGAGAGAGAGAGAGAGAGAGAGGGAGATAGGCCCGAAGTTATGAGTGCGAATCTGTCTAAAACTGGTGGGGACCAGATTCTGGATCTTATTACCTTCCCCACTGGACCAATCTGGTTCTGATTTGAGTTGATACCTGTTGGTACCTCCATGTAAACCAAAATTACCAGGCTTGTGCAGATCCATTGGGTTTTTATGGGCTAGCCAACAGTACTTTTATCCTGCCCCTTAAAAGTCCCTGGACAGCAAGTCTTAAACTTACAACTGGTTGCTTACCATGTTTCCCCGAAAATAAGACCAGGTCTTATATTAATTTTGGCTCCAAAAAATGCATTAGGGCTTATTTTCTGGTTAGGTTTTATTGGGGAGGGAAATACGATACTAAATGCACCCGTCTGGCTGACAATCTTAACTGGGGCTTATTTTTGGAGTAGGGTTTATATTACGAGCATCCTGAAAAATCATGCTAGGGCTTATTTTCTGTTTAGGTCTTATTTTGGGAGAAATACAGTACTTAACGCCTCCGTCTGGTTGACGATCTTAACTGGGGCTTATTTTTGGAGTAGGGTTTATATTACGAGCATCCTGAAAAATCATGCTAGGGCTTATTTTCCGGTTGGGTCGTATTTTCGGGGAAACAGGGTAGCAACCATTCCAAAAGATGACATCTTGGGGTGACTTATTCCAAGTTCCGACAGTTGGAGACCCCCCCCAACCATCCCCCATAGTCCCATGACCGAACCTCAGGCACTGATCAACACAACCACAATGACAGCTGTTTGAACAATCCCACAGTCATGTGAACACACATTACGATGTTTTTTTTGCCCCTCAAAAATGGGCACTTCCCATTTTTGGCAAAGTTGCAGCCAAAAGTCCTTAAGCGATCCCTCAGTTCGCTTAACGACTGGGCTCGCTTAACGGCCATGGCAGCTGCTTAAGGATCCCCACTTTCGCTTAACAACGGCTGCAAAAAAGAAAAAAAAGACCGTAAAATTGAGGTCATTTCCACGTGACCGTCTCATTTTTACGATCGTCGTGACTTAACAACCAGGATGGGCAGGTTCCATTACGGTCAGAAGTAGAGGACTAACCAAGGATTGCCGTATCTTAGGGAGGTCTCTCCTTCATCCCTCCTGGCCTTACCTGTTGTCCTGGATCTGTTGACGGAGCATTTTCACGTATTCAAAGCTCTCTGGACTGCAGATGTCGTATACCAGAATGTAGGCATCCGTGTTTCGTAGGCCCCAACACTTCAGATCCGACCACTCCTGAAGGACCAAAAGAAGATGTGGGACAGTGAAGTGTGTCATTGCGGCCAAGGAAAAATGAGCCACAGGTTGACTTAGTCATTGCCAGGACCCTGACAGAAAGGACGGGGAGACATGGCTGAGACTTTTAAAAATATTTAAGTTCAGTGTTGAATAGGATAGGACAGGATAGGATAGGACAGGACAGGACAGGACAGGACAGGACCAGGATAGAATAGAATAGAATAGAATAGAATAGAATAGAATAGAATAGAATAGAATAAAATAGAATAGAATAGAATAGAATAGAATAGAATGAGAAGGGACAAAGGAAGGAGAAGAGAAGAGAATAGGAAGAGAAGAGAAGGAGGAAGAGAGAAGGAGAAGAGAATTAGAAGGGGAAGGAGAATAGAATAGAATAGAATAGAATAGAATAGAATAGAATAGAATAGAATAGAATAGAATAGAATAATAGCGTTGGAAGGGACCTTGGAGTTCATTTAGTCCAACCCTCTGTTTAGGCAGGAAACCCTATACCCGTGATGGCAAACCTATGGCACGGGTGCCACAGGTGGCACAAACAGCTATATCAGTGGTCACACGAGCATTACCATAGCTCAGCTCCAGCGTGCATGTGTGTGTGTCCAATATTTTTTTAGCTTTTGGGCACATCCACCACATATGACAGCAGGAGCCCAATGGTTGATTACACTTCCAACATTTAGCAGATCTATCTTTATACATTCTAGCCAATCTTGCCGGTGCGAAATGCCATCTTATAAAACATTTTAATACAGATTTTCTTTATATGAAGTTGACATAGCTTTACTATTTAAGGAATTTAAAAAATAACTCCAGTGGGAAGACCAGCTGCTTCTAGAAAACAGCATGAAGGCTTAGAGAAAAGGGCCTAAAATGGAGCCAGGTTAAAAATGCACATTATTATTATTATTTAAATTGAGAACCAGCAGGTGTGAAGAAGGTGACAGCCGTATTTAACAGACACGCTGATGCTACTATTTTGCTCCCTCCAGGTGCAGAAGCGGAGAGAGCCAAGGTGACATGCAGAGCTCTGAGAATCACACTGGCTGCCAATGAGTCATTTTCAACCTTGCTCGCAAACATTTTTTTTTGTGGATTTCAAGGTTGGAAGGGATCTCGGAGATCTTCTAGGCCAACCCCCTGCCAAGCAAGATGGATGTTGGGGGGGGGGGCTCCCGACTCCCAGGACCTCTCCCATCCGATGCCAACCAAGAATTGGAGATGATGGTCATTGCTTTGCAAATAGACGTCCATCAGCCAAATTCCTAAACCTGCTGGATTTAAATTCTTTTTAAAGGATTTTTTTAAAAAATTGGTTCTTTTATTACAGAGATATGGCACTGGGGCAGATGCCAGATTTATCTCTAGGAAGACAGTTCAGGGACATCAATTAGAGCAGGAGACTGTCATTCAGGCTTGTTGGGTTCTTCTTAGAATTACAAGAGTTGGAAGGGACCTTGGAGGTCTTCTAGTCCAACCCCCTGCTCAAGGAAGAGACCCTCTGTCATTCGAGACCATCTTTTCTTAAAAACCCTCTACCATTTGAGACAAATGGCTTCCCAGTCTCTTCTTAAAAACTTCCAGTGTTGGAGCATTCACAACTTCTGGAGGCAAGGAGTTCCACTGGTTAATTGTTCTCACTGTCAGGAAGTTTCTCCTTCATTCCAGGTTGTTTCTCTCCTTGATGAGTTTCCATCCGTTGCTTCTTGTCCTGCTCTCAGGTGCTTTGGAGAATAGGCTGACCCCCTCCTCTCTGTGGCAGCCCCTCAAATATTGGAGGACAGCTATCATGTCACCCCTGGTCCTTCTTTTCATTAAACTAGACATTCCCAGTTCCAGCAACCGTTCTTCATATGTTTTAGTCTCCAGTCCTTTAATCATCCTAGTTCAATCATCCCAGGTATGACTTTATACCTATTTGCGGTACCATCAATGTCTACATTTGGTCTAAAATCTTCATTGTAATATTGATTTAGAACTATTTTATGTCTAAAGCTTTTTTTTTTTTTTTTTTTTTTTTGCTTTTGGCTGTTTTTTCTCTTCCACCCTCTTTTTTTAACACCTCCCGAGAAGTGCTGGAGGTTAAAGAATTCAAAGCATGAATTTGGCTGGAGCTAAGAAAACTAGTATCCATCTGTAGATTTTTGGATTTCAAAAAAAATAAAAAAACCCGCCGGGGACTAAAAGTAATGAAGTGGAGGCCAATGCAAGTGGAGGAGGAAGAAAAAAGAAAGAGAGAAAAAGAGAGAAAGAGAAAGAGAAAGAAGGAAGGAAAGGAAAGGAAGGGAGGGAGGGAGGGAATGAAAGAGAGAAAGAAAGAGAGAGAGAGAAAGAAGGAGAAAGAAGGAAGGAAGAAAAAAGAGAAAGAGAAAAAGAAAGAGAAAGAGAAAGAGGAAGGAAAGAAAGAAAGAAGGAAGGAAGGAAGGAAGGAAGGAAGGAAAAGAAAATGAGATATTAATAAGTCTATTAAGTCCAGAAGGACCTATATCCCACCTTTTCCCCCCCAGGAGCTCAAATCATCTTCCAGGGGATTTCCTCTTAAATGTGCACAACAATCCTGCAATGTAGATTGTGCTGAGAGACAATACTAACTTCCTCCAAGGTAGCCAAGAAACTCCCAGGGCTAAAGGTGAACTCAAATCTTGAGTCGCCATAGTCCTGGTCCAGTTCCTGAAGCACCAGACTGCACGGCATCTCCTGAAGCATCATGAAATATGCTCACCTTTGATCCCTTTACACACACATGCGCACGTGTGGAAGTGCCAGGTGGGATGGGAGGGAGGGAGGGGAAGAGGAGCTCACCTGAGAACTGTTGGCAGGGAAAGCCGCCACGTAGGGGACGTCCATGATTTTCAGGTCGTAGGAGTTCCCGTTGAGCATGACTGACGGCCGGTAGATGTAACGGTCCTCCGTGGGGCTGTACTTCTCCGTGAAGTCGTGGTACAAGAATTGGCGGACGATGGCGGTCTTGCCTACTTTGGGGGCCCCTAGTACGGCGACCGTCAGCGTCTCCACCATGGTCTGCCTTCAGGACCCTGGAGAGCTCCACAACTGCCTCCGCCGTTGCTCCTCCGAAGGGCTTCCTCCGAGCCATCAACCCCCCTTGCCTGCCCTCGCCTCCCCGCGGTTCACACGATAAAGCTTCACCGGCCTCTTGAGTTAACCCGCGTTCCGGGTTCGCACAGTACAGGGAACCATAAACAGACCATTTAGGCTGGGTTGATGGCACCGGATGCTGAGTCTCCACGAAGAAAAGCAAAAGAAAAAACCCCAAGGCTACGAACGAGCCGAGTTGAACATGGTAGGTACCTCAAGGCGGGTGCCAGGTTTGTAAGGGACTCCTGAAGCACCTTGTGCGGACCCAGCCGGAGGCTCACCCTCCCCTTTCTCCTCCCTCCAGGACCACAGAGTTCCCACGTAATCCTACTGCTCCGTCTCCAAGCCAAGTCAACCCAACTTCGCAATGCTCTCAGAGAAGCTTCTCCGCTGCGCCTTCCCTGCCGCCGGCAGCGTCCTTTGCCTGCCCTAAGCCAAGAGCTCAGGCTTCATCCGAGTCCAGGACGGATTCTGGCATGAATGGGAAGGGAGAAAAGGAGTTCAGGCAAGACGCGGGGATGGCGATGAACAGGCAACCAGGGAAGCCAACGGAACCAAAATCCTCCGAAGTGCAGCTGGGTTGGGGAGGGGGAGGGGCGAGCTCCCTTCCTCGGTGCCTGAAGACTGTAGTGTGGTTTTGAGAGAGGCGGGAAGGGGAAGGAAGTTGCCGAAGCGTGAGAAGGGGTGGGGGGAAGGAGGAGAGAAAGAAAGAGAGAGTGAGAGAGAGTGGGGGAAGAGAGAGGGACGGTGGGAGGAAGAGGGGGGAGATAGAAGGAAGAGAGAAAGAGAGAGAGAATGAGAGAGAGGGGAGAGGGAGAAGGAGGGTAGGAGGGAGAGAGAGAGGGAGAGAGAAAGAAGGGAGAGAGAAAGAAGGGAGAAGGAAAGAAAGAGTGTGAGAGAGAGATGGAGGGGGGAGGGAGAGGGGGAGAGAGAAGGGAGAGAGAAAGAGTGAGTGAGTGAGTGAGAGAGGGGGTGGGAGAAGGAGGGTAGGAGGGAGAGAGAGAGAGAAAGAAGGGAGAAAGAAAGAAAGAGTGAGAGAGAGATGGGGGAGAGACAGACGGAGGGGGAAGGGAGAGAGAAAGAGAGTGAGTGAGTGAGTGAGAGAGAGAGGGGAGGGAGAAGGAGGGTGGGAGGGGGAGAGAGACAGCGAGAGAGAAAGAGAGGGAGAGGGAGAGAGAGAAGGAAGAGAGAAAGGAAGAGAGAGGGGGAGAGGGGGGAGAGAGGAAGAAAGAAAGAAAGAGTGAGTGAGTGAGAGAGAGTGGGGAGGGAGAAGGAGGGTGGGAGGGGGAGAGAGACATCGAGAGAGAAAGAAGGGAGAGAGAAAGAAAGAGAGAGTGAAAGAGAGGGGGAGAGAGAGTGAGGTTGGGAGGAGAGAGTGGGAAGAGAGAAAGAGAGGGAGAGGGAGAGAGAGAGACGGGGGAGGGGGGAGGAGGAGGGGGGCTGCCGAGCCAAGCGAGTGAGCGAGCGGAGGACGGGACCCTTCCTCGCCCCCGTCCCCAGCTTTCTCCCGGGCGCAGAGAAAAAAAAGCCTTTGCTTCAAGGCCGCTTCAAAGCCAAGGAGTTGCTCTCTCCTCTCTTACTCCCAAGCGCCCCACCGGCAGCGCGATCCAAAGGTCCCGCCGGGTTGGCGGCGCTATCCAGAGCCAAGAAAACCGGGCGCAGCGTCCGAATGGGAGGCTCCGTTTCAGGACCCTGGACAGGGACACTGCGGCGCCAATGCCTTGCCCGGGCTGGCTGTTTTTCCCCCCGCTGCGGCAAATAAACCCAGGATCGCCACCCGCGGGACAAGAGAACGTGAGAAAGGCGACACGGCCAGCAGGGCAAGGAACCTCGGCTCTGCCTAGCAGGCAAGGAATCGCCCGGGAGGCAGCGCGGAGCCACTCAGCCCTTCCCACCCCCCGCAAGATAACGGAGAGCATCTTCCCCGCCTTTCCGGAGATGCGGAGAAATATGACTTCATCCTTTTTTTTTTTTTTAATTTGATTTATATGCCGCCCTTCTCTGGAGACTCAGGGCGGCTTACAATGTGCTCAGCAATAGCCTTCATTCTTTTTGTATATTTATACAAAGTCAGCTTATTGCCCCCACAAACTGGGTCCTCAATTTACCTACCTTAGAAAGGATGGAAGGCTGAGTCAACCTTGAGCCTTGGAGAGATTCGAACCTGCAGTAATTGCAGGCAGTTGGTCTTAATAACCAGCTTAATAACAGGGTGTCACGGCGAGGGGGGGCAGTTTTCATTCTCCTTCTGCCCGGCAAGGCTGGACACCCTGCCTTCCCCTCCCTCCCTCCTCCCCTGCCCGACCTCGGGGAATGTCCATCAAAGATGTGGAGACTCTGGAAAGAGTGCAGAGAAGAGCAACCAAGATGATTAGGGACTGAAGGCTAAAACATATGAATAACAGTTGCAGGAACTGGGTATGTCTAGTCTGATGAAAAGGAGGACCAGGGGAGACATGAGAGCAGTGTTCCGATATCTCAGGGGTTGCCCCAAAGAAGAGGGAGTCAAGCTATTCTCCAAAGCACCTGAAGGCAGGACAAGAAGCAATGGATGGAAACTAATCCAGGAGAGAAGCAACCTAGAACTAAGGAGAAAATTCCTGACAGTGAGAACAATTAACCAGTGGAACGACTTGCCTCCAGAAGTTGTGAATGCTCCAACACTGGAGGTTTTTAAGAAGATTGCCAAAACCTTTACAGCGGCCTTGGAAAGGAATGAAAATTATGACGCATATGAAAGAAAACTTTAATCCAATGTATAAAAGAAGTTAATTGCAAAGTGAAGGTCAACAGGAGTGGAACGGACTGCCATTGTCTTACATAAAGCTATGGCAGACATGCGGAATATATAACCTGCTTCAAAAATGTAGTGAGAGGAGAAACGAACATGATCAAACAGTATCAAAAAAATCCCGTGGTCTGGTGAGAATCTTGTTCCCTTGTACAGACACTTCTTTTATTGGGCCATCCATCTTTTTGTTTTTGTTTTTTTTTTTAAATTTGATTTATATGCCACCCTTCTCCGGAGACTCAGGGTGGCTTACAATGCGCTCAGCAATAGCCTTCATCCTTTCAGCTTATTGCCCCCACAACTGGGTCCTCATTTTATGTTATGTTTTGTGTTATTTTACATTTTTATTTTATATTTCATGAGTTTTATTTATATTTATTTATATTGCTAAGCAATATTTATTTATTTATTAATTAATTATATTTCTATACCGCCTTTCTCCCGTAGGACTCAAGGCGGTGTACAGTCAAGCCTTCATCCTTTTGTATATTTATACAAAGTCAGCTTATTGCCCCCACAAACTGGGTCCTCATTTTACCCACCTTAGAAAGGATGGAAGGCTGAGTCAACCTTGAGCCTTGGCGAGATTCGAACTTACAGTAATTGCAGGCAGCTGGTCTTAATAACAGGGTGCTTTAGACCACTGTACTACCAAGGCTCTTTTATTCGAACGTTCTAAATTTTTTTCTTTCTTTCTTTCCGGAAAGCCGAGTGCTCAAGAGTCATTTGGCAATTTGGGTGCTTTTTTAAAAAAAATGATGCGAATAAATAAGTGAAGACAAAGCACTCCCTGATGGATGCTAGAACCGGCCCTGCGAAGCTAGCGAGGAAAAAGCAACGTGCATTTTGCTCTTTTTTTTAAGAGAGAGACCCCTGGGAAACATTCAGGTTCCCAGCTGGGAGATTTGGATGACCTCTGGATGACTCAAGAAAATTGCCCGGAAGTGGTGGTTCACGCATCACGGACTTTCCTTCAGCCTGCAATGCATGTTGTGTTTCGACGGCAGCCGCTGGAGACTAAAACGTATGAAGAACATTTGCAGGAATTGGGTATGGATGCCAGTCTAGAGAAAAGAAGTACTAGAGGGGATATGATAGCAGTTTTCCAGTATTTGAGGGGCTGCCACAAAGAAGAGGGGGGATCAATTTATTTTCCAAAGCCCCAAAAGGCAGGACAAGAAGCAACAGATGGAAACTAACCAAGGAGAGAAGCAACCTGGAATTAAGGAGAAACTTCCTAACAGAGAGGACAATTAACCAGTGGAACTGCTTGCCACCAGAAATTGTGGATGCTCCATCACTGGAGGTTTTAAAGAAGAGATTGGATAGCCATTTGTCTGGAATGGTATAGGGTCTCCTGCTTTAAGCAGGGGGTTGGACTAGAAGACCTCCAAGGTCCCTTCCGGCTCTGGTCTGAATTGAAAATTGATTGCCAGAAACCTTTTGAGATAGCAGCTTCTGAAAAGCATTTGATTGTCCTGAGCTGAGAACAGCAGAAAAGCTGTGATGCTCCCAGGCAGTTTCTTTCCTTCTTCTTTTTCTTCTTTTTTTTTTGGCACAAAAGCTCATCAAGAGGAAGAAAATGTTGACTGCAGCAAAAAACCAAATCAGAAAAAAAAAAGAAAAGAAAGAAAAATATGTTCTTCCTTGCCAAAGGAATAGATCTCATTACTCTTCGCGCAGTACCGGATCAAAATAAGAATGGGATTTTTAGCTAGGCTGCAACAATACCGTTTATCCATTAGATCAAGAGGTCTTTAAACTTGGCAGCTTTAAGACTTGTGGACTTCCAACTCCCAGAATTATATCTCAGAATCTATTTTGGCTTCAACGGCTTGATCTGGAAGTGGGCTGGCGATATAAACCGAGAGACGGGCGGACTATTTTGGGTAGCCGGCAAGAGAAAACGATTATACAGTGTCGGGGAGGGGGCCGTGGGAGAGCTGACTTGCCCCGTTTTGACAAAACCTTCTGGCAGCTGAGCTACATTTAAAAATAATCGGGATAAAAGCACCGTCCCCGAAGGACGACTTGGCAGGAGAGGCGGTGAGCTCAAGTTCACGTCGGAGAAGATTGTCCTCCAGGGACGTCCAACTTCCTCAAAGACAACAAGAGGAGCCTGAAGATGGACGTGGTCTCCAAGGACATCTGAAATTTGGCAATGGCTTCAGCCTCATCGTTGTCTTAAGTCACATGATATAAATAGCTAAGTGGCCAATTGTAATCATCCTCATTTAAAGACCTCATAACTCCTTGCGGGGTGGAGTCTGGGACACTGAATGGAATTTACTGGCCGGATGCTCTTCCTGTTGCCAATGCTGAGTTATATTCAGCAGATATATTCTCACTGTGCCCAGCTAGAATTCATGCCTAAAATGGGACTAGAACTAGACTGTTTCAACTCCTACCCTCAAAACGACGCTATAGAGCACTGCACACCAGAACAACTAGACACAAGGAGTTTTTTCCCAAACACCAT